CTTCTGGTAATTCGATTCTGCCCCAAACAGGTTTTTTACCGTTGGATCACACACAATCGAAGACAAAGCCACATGACTGTAAAAAATCCAATGAGGTAAAGGATCGAATTTTTCACTAGCCCAGTTTCAATTTTTGACCTACAAAACACATCAACGCTAAAGACAGCAGCAAAAAATAGCAGAAGTGCGAAAAAACAAATCAGACAAGCACTAATAATTGCAACCCACATGGGATCATCTCCTTCAGTAGGCAGAATCTAATCTTTCAGACAAAGAAACTTAATAGCTAATAAGACAGTTGCTGAAAATACCTGGGACGAAGAAAATCATGAAGCCCCAAATGCAAAGATCCAATCTTGGAGCCACCACTCAACACTAATCAACTTTCGAATAAAAGGGTTGCAACCAAAATAGGCGCAAACAGCTCACTTTCACTCTCAAGTCTCAACCAATGTAGAGATTCGATTTCCATAAAAAAATATTTTGCATTATTGAATCATCGAGGAGCCGAGCATGTGAGAGATGACTGTGGGTGATGTTTTCAAATTGAAGGATTGACGACTTTTCAGCTTTTTTCCATTTATTTATTTGTTTTAACGTTTTTCGAAATTTTAAATTTGTAGTCAGTAAAATTTGAAATTGTGTTGTCTTATTCCCGCTCATCTGTCAGCACGCCAACAGTACTTTATCCACATGGTTTGAGACTCGAGTCCTATTGGTTACTAACTAGTATGAATCCCGTGCGGTGCACGGGTAAGAGATATTAATTAATATTTATAAATTAAATATGCTCATTATATTATTTATAAAGTTAAAATATGAAATATACATGTAATACATTTTACCTATAAAATTTAAATTGTGAAAATTTACATAAAACATGTCTAGTTAAAAAAATAATGAAGTAAAAAAAACAATGGAAAAATGAATTCAAAATAAGTTATTTATTCTTATCTCCTCATCATGAAAGAAAATTTTCAAGTAGTTTTTGTATTCAACAACAAATTTATTTTCAATTATTCACAACTTCATATGTAGTTTTTTAGTTCTAGTGACTTTGTTGATCAAACCAAATTTGCACTTCATCTTGAATTAAATAAAAGATAAAATCAATACTTAGAATATTAAAAATGAAATCAAATGAAGGATAACAACAAATGATCGAAAAATGATTGAATTTATAAAGGAAAAACAAAATATAATTTAGTTAAATTCCATAAATATTTTTGATATGAAAAGTATAAAGAAATTGCAATAAATCAATTTAAAAATTGTACAAATTCTTTAGTACACGATTTCTGTAATGTAAAAAGTTTACTTTATTTAATACATTAAATTTTATTTTGTTTGACAATTATATTTTTAGTTAATTATTAATCAAATTCTTATTTAATATAAATGCGGTATAATTTTTTTGATTGGATGGAATTCAATTTAGAAATATTCTACTGTTGATCAGTTGGAATGTTACTAAATCCTATTAGTATATTACTTGTTGATCAATTACTGTATGAGATGGACTGATTGTTATGGTATGATGGGGTATCTCAATTTTTTTTTTTCGTTGTGGTTGTTAAGTTGTGTGAATGGTATTGTGTAATTTAATTAGATTGGTCGATTTAATAAATATATATACCAAATAATTTGGTATATATATTTATAAAGAAGTATCAACCTTCTCCAGATTTTTCTTTCATTAATATCGAGTAAAATGCTTAGCAATATGGAAAAAAAAAATATTGAGATACCATTTCTTACCATAAGCCGGTATATTGTATCAATATATAGTATACTAAATAATTATATTTTATACTTTATCAATAAAATACAAAAAATGATAATTACTTTTACCACAAATTAATTGCCCAACGTAGAAAACAAAATCGAGACCCACATTTTTCATAGATAAAAATTAAAAAGACCCAAAAAATAGTTATTGAAAAATAATTGAAAGAAAATTGCAATTAACACAATTATCTTGGAAAAATTTTATAAAAATTTATAATTGAATAAATCAACAAAATCTATACGACCTGTGTAATTAGGATATCATAAAAATGTAAATTTTATGTTATCTTATTAATTATCCACAAGTTGAATAATTAAATATACAAAAAATGAATAACATTTATTAAGTAAATTAATTTTTTTTTTTTTTGCAAATCGCATAATTGATTATTGTTGTCAATATTTCCATAATTGTAGTAATTATTTACAAAATGAATAAACCAGTCGGATTTACACAATTTGCGTAATTATTCTATATTAAAAATACATTTCATATGGTAACAAAAAAAAAAACATTTCATAAAAGAATTACATGAAAAATATAAAACACTTATTAAATAATAAGTTACACAATTTAGTTGAAATTTTTTAGCAAATCACATAATTAATATTGCATCCGAAATCGACATATTTGGGTAAATATCCGAAGTCACATGATTTGAGTAATTATCTTAAAAATAAAACTTTTAATGTGTTAATTATTTCTTTAAATAATGAGACGAAATTTTTATAAGTGATTATTTGAAATATACATAAATTTTAAATTAATTATTCGAAATAGTAAATAGATTTTTTTTGATGGAAAATATTTACTATTTAAAAAATAATCAAACTTTTATATAATAATAATAATAATAATAATAATAATAATAATAATAAATATTTAATGTACATTAAACTTGAACTACAATGAAGAGATTATTTGGAACATAAGATAAAGATTAAATATATCCAAAAAAATCTGCAGGAAATCCTTTCTTTAAACGTTTGAATTTAAATTTTTGACTGAAAATTTCAAATTATGCTTGGGCGGGATTTCTAAATTTTTTTAAGAAAGTTACTATGTTTAGTAAATTTTTAGGCGGAAATTGTAATGATTTTTTAGCTATTATTTTAGGATTTATTGGGTTACATCTTTATAAAATAATAGATTTTCAAACAATTTTCCAATCACACCATAGTTGTTGGCCGGATTTTCAAATGATTTGTAAATCATAATTTATTTCTCAATAATCAATATAAACAATTTACGGCATTAGATGAAATTCTATATCCATAAATGACGAATAGTAATATAAATGATGAAGAGCATAAAGAACACAATATAAATTTATATACTTTGTAAAATTCAAGTAGATCTCTTCAAAATTCAAATCCACTATCATAACACACAAGGGGACTAATTATAAATATACCACAAGGTACTGAAAACCGGTCATTGAATCAGTGAAGCTATTGGTTTAATGAAACACTAGTCGGATCAGTGGTCGAACCGGTTTAATTATTATATAATATGTATTTAGTTTATATGTATGATATATAATTGTATATATTTTTATCATCAATTTTATAGTATATAATGACATTCTTCTAATAAAGAAAAAAACAAATAACCCTCCTGCCCACTGTATTTGCACTGCAGCCAACGCATGCACGTCCCCTAATCGAGCTCTTGAACCTTCGCCCGATTTCTACATGTTACTAGCGATATCCCAACAGTTGTCGATAGTGTTTCGTTAGTACACGGTTCGTCCTTACCCGACTACTTAGAGTTCAACACTACTTAGAGTTCAACTATTTTTGAGCTACTAAACACTACATTTCTTACATCAATTTAACTTATTAGTTGGCATTAGTTTTTCATTCATCCTAAAACAATTTTGATTTCTTCAATAAAATTGATGCAAAACACTATGCATGTTTGTTTTTAAAAAATTTTAGTTTTGTTTGGATTTTTTGATTTGATTTGGTTAATTTTGAGAAAGGTGGTATGGTTAGTTGTTAGTGGGTATATTAAAATAATATTTAAAATAAAATAATATTTAAAATAAAATAATTAAAATTGATTTGATGTAAAAGTAGGAGAGAGAAATTTGAAGTGATGGTTAGTTAAAATAATGTGAGTGGATGAATAGTGAATTAAGGTTGATGTAGTGTGTGTGTATGAGTGATTGGTTGATATTATTTAATTATATTGATAATTTTGATGATATTGGAGTTGAGTTCAAATAGAGTTAAAAAAAAATGGTTGAATTAAAATGTTAGAAATTTTTTGAAAAATTCTATAAACAAACATGCTCGGATGATATGATGTATTGGTTTGTATTTCATCTCTCCACACACATAACAATACATTGATCGACACGTGGCATTCTTCTAGAGCCCAAAAAAAATCAACAGAACTACTATAGAATATACTTGTTGGTAGTTGCTAACATAACATCTCACCAAGACAACATAAACTAAATGCAAAAAATTATGGGAACCTCGTGGCTACATTCTCCACCATCACAACTCATAAAAACCCTATCTACATCACTCTCTCTTTGTGTGACTCACAATTCCTCTCTAAGATTTCTTTGGATCCAAACTACCACATAACCATTTACTTCTTCTTTTAGTGTTCAAAAAACAATCTCTTCAAACTTTATAATTCTCCACACACACACACACACACATAAACACAACAAAACACGAACCAAATGGCCCAAACGATGTTGCTAAACCCGTTTTCTCAGTTTGTGTTGCCACCAAGAAATTGCAATCGTGTTTTTTCTTACTCGAACAAAAGTACCATTGTTGCTCTCTTCAAGTCAAAACCCAAGGTGCCTCCTAAGAAGCTGGTATTTCTTCAAATATTTATGTTTATTGTGAAAATGAAAATTNATGTGAGTAAATTTTAGTTGCAAAAGTAAAAAAAAAGCGTTCCATCATACAAGTTGCAAAATTTTCTGTTTCAATCTTTTTAAATATTTTCCAAAACTTGTGAATAAAAAAGTGAAATGAAAATCAATGTCATTTCATATTAGTAATATTAAGAGATGGTCGAATTTTTTTCTTATATATATATATATATATTTTTTGGGTTGAAATAATGAAATGATATGGTTCTTGAACTATTTTGATAGGCTACACCAGTGAAGAAGGAAAAGCCAAAGGTTGAAGATGGCATATTTGGGACATCAGGTGGAATTGGTTTCACTAAGCAAAATGAACTATTTGTTGGCCGTGTTGCCATGATTGGTTTTGCGGTCAGCTCTCTTTTCTATTTTATTTTTATTATAATATATTACCTGATTTTGCTTTAAATTTTTTGTTGAATTAAGTATCAAATGTTATATAATAAACTACATGAATTAAATTAGTTTATCAGGTGGCTCCAATATGCAGATATACTGATATACATATATAGGTGTGTTAAAAAGTCCAACTTAAATAACTTTTAAAGTGTCTTTACACATGACTGCAATTGCATTATCAACATTTTGTACCATAAGTTTTTGACATTCAATTTCTGTGGGAGCAGAATTTAAATATGAACAAATTATTCTTAAACTAATTGCAAAAAGCATCTAGCAAGTGTTTGAACATAGACCAAAATCAATCTATACTTTTTACGAGAACATGAAATTAATTAAGAGAAAATGTACTGATTTTTTTTTGTGCAGGCATCCTTGTTGGGAGAGGCAATTACTGGAAAGGGTATATTGTCGCAATTGAATTTAGAAACTGGAATCCCAATTTATGAAGCTGAGCCTCTTCTCCTATTTTTCATCCTTTTCAATCTTCTTGGAGCCATTGGAGCTTTAGGGGATCGTGGCCGATTTGTAGACGATTCAACCGGACTTGAAAAGGCAGTTATAGCCCCCGGCAAAGGCTTCCGCTCGGCTTTGGGCCTTGGAGAAGGAGGTAATTACACCAATTTTGAGAAAAATTGGAGATTTAGTCCTGTAAATTGAGAAATAATCCGGTGGTTGCGTTGATTTTGCAAAACTCACCCTGTAATTGCAAAAAAAAAAACTGACTTTTAGTCCTTCCACCGACAAAACTCGGTCAATTTGACCAGCTGCTGAGTTGGATATGTTAGTCAGTTGACACGTGTGCGGAAAAAAAATGAAAAACAATATCCACGTCAGCAACCAATCACAGGGACCGGCTTTTGCTGGTAGAAAGACCAAAAGTCAAGTTTTTTTTGTAGTTACATGGTGTTTTGTAAAGTCAATGCGATCACCGGACTAATTTTCAATTAGGTGTCAGTTACAGGACTAATTCTCCAATTTTTCCACCAATTTTGTTATGTACTTGCCTCATAACAATGTCTCATAATAGTTATCCATTAATAGTCCTAAAAAATAAATACATTTGGGACATGTCAATCAATGGTAAAAATTGAAATAGGTTTACCAACATTCACAAATTCAAAAGTTTATTGCAAAAAATATCTTACCTTATGCATGACACATTTGACAATTTTCCCTTTCACATTAAGGAATCGTTATATTCGTGTTACATAGCTTAACGTGCGAAAAAACTTGAACGTACCACAGGCCCTTTGTTCGGGTTCACCAAGGCAAACGAGCTATTTGTTGGGAGATTGGCTCAACTCGGGATTGCATTCTCTATTATCGGTGAAATTGTCACCGGAAAGGGTGCTCTGGCGCAACTAAATATAGAAACCGGAGTTCCTATCAATGAAATCGAACCCCTTCTGCTGTTCAACGTGGCTTTCTTCTTCTTTGCCGCCATAAATCCCGGTACCGGAAAATTTGTCACTGATGATGAAGAGGATTGAATGATGAAGAATGTAAATGAATAAATTCTAGTTCACTATTTTGCTTGTTTATTGTAGGTGCAACTTATTTTGTAGTTTTATTATGAGAGAGAATTCTATATATGTAAAATGTTGTTCTCGGATCATTAAAATGCATCCCAAGAAAATCCCCCACATATAAATTTAAAATATGCTGAGCCTAAGTGGCAGGTTTGCACGAATCAGTTTTGTATGCCAAGTGATATAATATGTTCAGGCATGGATATTTCCATAATATATTAACTTGTTTTAATGTTTGTTCAATCACACCTCAATTATGTCTTTTTCAATAACATATAGCAATTCTTGATTTCCATAAGTAATTTGTATTCAGACATACAGGAGAAAAGTTCAGGACTTCAGGTATCATTAAACTCAGCTCTCAAATAAATTTACACAGAAAGCATTGAAGAAAGAAGCTCGTTTGAGGGGACAAAAATGTCACAAAAAAAAAAATAATAATAATAATAATAAAGCGAATAAACAAACTTACTTCCCAGAAGGCCATAAAGTGAATGTACAAGTGAGGGACATTTGTATCATAATCTGGTGGCTTGTAGGAGAGAAAACCGAAACTAGTAAATGTGCAGCTGTTTAAGAATGACACAAACAAGAGAAAGCAGAAACAAATAAAGTAAGGGTAGTAAGCCAACCAGAAAACATTATGTGGAAATCAAATTATTACCGTATGCAGAAATGGAACAACAATTGACTCTTAAAATAATGAAGAGATTTCTTTTGTCTTTATAATCAGCCCTGATGATGTCAAGAGGAATCAGACAAGAACGACACTACGAAAAAAGCCTTACCGAGCTAACACAAAAACAATGTGTTTACCATTAGGAGATATTGCAACTCAACTTTCGAGCTATATGTTCAACTCTAAGTGATCCACTTGTTTATTAAGAAGTTAATGAATGCATCTCTATTAACATATCGTCTACCGATTCAAGCAATTAACAACACATCTTGTAGATCCAACATTCAAAACTTGAGTAATAAATTGCCGATGCCAAACTGTGAAAATGGATAATATTCCTACAGAGACTGAAAACTACTGATACTCAACTGGATATTACAAACCAAGTTTCACTACATTTCATCTTTTCTCCTTTTCCCTTGGTTCACTGAAATGGAAAACTACTGCACAAGACAAATTAAGAGTAAAATCACTGAATCTAAGCTTGTCAGGCAAACTAAGCGGTATTAATGGCTACGGAAAAAGCTGGATTTCCCCATTTCACATGAACAGGTTCAGATCAACACGCGCCACACACGCGATTTTCATCATCATAATTTTAGGAAGAATAATAATAAATTCAAACCCACAACCTTCTACTGCGAAAAAACTGCTAAAACGACTCGAATCCGACATACTTACCGATGTCCGATGAACTGAGAAGATGCAAAATCGCAGGCTCATGAATCATGATAATTGCTCAAGAAATAGAGTGAGCTGAGCTGTTGGGCCTATTACAAATTGGACCTCTAAAATGGGCCATCGCCCGCCGTTCAAAATGGTCAGTGGTTGGCCATGAGCGGTTTCCGATGTGAAATAAAGATCCCTTTGGGCTCGTTTGTTTACAAAATAAATAATTATCCAAAATGAGTTATTTTGGTTAATTAGAGTTAATTTTAAAAAAGATAGTATGGTTAGTTGTTAGTGAGATTTTAAAAATATATTAAAATAATATTTAAAATAAAATGATTAAAATTGATTTGATGTAAAAGTATGAGATAAATGATTGAAAATGATTGAGAATGATAGGTAGTTAAAATTATGGGAGTGGATGAATAGTGAATTAAAGTTGATGTGATGTGTAAAAATGATTGAGTTGTATTTATTTATTATATGAATCTATATATATATAATTACTGGCTCATGAGCATTTAATAAAACTTATTAAATTATACCTAAGTGGCAATATAATTTTTCCCTCAAAAAATCGTTACTTTTTATTTATTTAACCTTTCATTTAATTATTAGATAATCAACACACTAATCACTTCAAAATTACATAAATCGTTTTAAACTTTTGATTTACTTACAGCTGACCGTATAATGTGTTGACTATTTAACGTGATTAGATGTTATTGTTGTGGTTACATTTAAATTAACTTCTTTTAAAAAATAAAAAAACGTATTTGAAATTCCTAAATAAATAATAAATAATTCGCAAAAAAATACATACCAAAATGTACATTACATCCAATATGATAAACACAATTTAAAAAAATAAATATTTCAGTTCCTTTAATTGGAAATTTGGCCTGCAAAAAAGTGCAAGAAAAATTATTAATCATTATATGCATACAAATAACTCACAATACTTTATTTATATCTGTGCAAATGCACAGTTCAAATACTAGTAATATTAAAGATAGTGATATTGAGTTAAAGTTGAACTAAATTTTGAGTATAAATTAAAAATGAGTGAAATAATTGATAAACAAGCATGCCTTACTCTTTTAAAACAACTTTTTTACTTAAATGCAATAGTATACTCCCTCTGTTTCGTTTTAAATGTCGTTGTAGGGTGTCAACTTTTTTGCAAATTAATTGTCGTTGGAAATATTATATTCATTCTTACATTTTTATTCTCTTTAACAAACATTATCTCTTATCATTATCTTTAAAAACCACCCATTAATAATTCAAAAACTAAATTTAATAAGATTAAAAAATAAGATTATTACACAACCCATTAAAATCGTAATTTTGAAGTTTTAAATTAAAACGACATTTAATAAGAAACGGAGGGAGTATTATTTAGTCAAAGTCCTTTATTTACGCCTCTATCTATACGTCTGTTGATATCCGACTTGATTACATAATTGAAGACGGAGGTTAATCACTTTATTAAAGAAATAATCCTCCAGAAGAAGACGAACTTAGGATAAGTCGGTATTCATTGAATTAATTACCGACTTCTGAGAAATCACCGACTTCTGAAATTGTCGAAGGAACCGACTATTGAAACAGATGCGAGTAAACCGACTTCAGTTCAACAAATATTATGACGAGACGAATCAAGTTTCCTCTATTCAAACCGATTACCACAAAATTCAAATATCCAAGCAGAAAACAAAGCTGGAAGCATTTGATTGGACCAGCAAAACGAAAAAGTAATCATTGATGTTTCCCACCGCTTAAAGTAAAGCAGCTCAACATTAAATACATTCTTATCCATCTCGAACAAGAAGACAAAAATTACCGTACTATAAATAGCAGAATTTGTGATAGTACGAGGATCTTTTTTGAACACATGGTACATGAACTTAAGGTGATCTCGGTTAACAATAAAAAATCGACTCCTGTACTCTTGTGACTATATCAAATAAAATCAAATTTTACTTTAATCTTTGTTTAAAACACACTCAGCTGTTTGTAATTTTTCGTTGTTAATTTCATCCAACAACGTCATTATTGGAGTGGTGGTTTTTTTTTCTTCTCTCTATCTAAACTCTCTCTCTACAAAATCTCCCGCGATTTTTTCTTCATTCTTTTTTTCCTCACTAGTGCGTGGCCCGTGCGATCCACGGGAAACAATATTACCATTGTATTATAAATTATATATATAAATAACATTAATCATGATTTATCCATTATTTTTAAATTAAACCTGGTTGGACACAGTCCGACCGGATTGACCGAGAACAAATTTATAACTAGTCTAGTTCGCTTGAATAAAATATTTACTCTAGAATTCGTTAACACCAATTGGTTGGACGGGTAGGATCAATATGATTTTCTTAGTAAATTTTGTTATGTTTAAAATTATTTTAAATAAAATTACATATTTAAATAAAATAGAGATTTATAAATTATTTATCAATTACTTTAAACATTTGAATTTATAAATTGTTTAGATGTTTAAGTAACACATGTTATTTAAATTTATTACAAAAAGTACTATATATATATATATATCTATTAAAATGTTTATAAATAAAAATCTGAACAAACCACAAATGATTTAATAAAATAGCTTGATTGTTTCGATGATGGTCCAGTTCTGAAAACCTTACGTTTATTGTTCAGTAATGAATATTATAATAACATATTTTTTAATTCGCATAAATATTAAGAAAATGATATATAAATATTCATAAACCATTAAACATGTTGTCATAAAAGTATTGTTAATACGATTATTTGAAGTTTGGACTACATCACATTCACGTAATAAAGTATTTTCAACATAAAATTTATATTTAGGTTCAATAATCGATTTGGTGTGGTCGAACTGATACATAACTTAGTCATCTGGGACCAACCAAATTGTGTCAAGTTTTTTTACTATTTTAAATATCACCTAAAAGTAATTCAATCAACCTAGGCAGTACCCTAATTCAATCACCCGATTGATCCAAAGAAATTTTCTTATTGTTTTTAAATATACTTAATTTTATTAAATAAAAATATTTTATTATTCATATAATAATTGTCTACACCAAATGATAGTATATTAAGATTATAAATTATATATCTAAAGATGAATTAATTATTTTTACTTTATGCATATTAATAAAAAATAAACATAGTAATTTTTTTTAAAAAAAAATCAAGATTAATTGATTGATTATGCAATTTAAAGAATATTTTTCGCGTTTAATATTTTTTTTTAAGACACAAAATATAAAGACCGAGATTCTAAAACTTTTGTTATATTTTGAATTGAGATTTTATAAATAAAGAGACCGAGATTTTTATAAAACATACACCCTTCATAAATCTTAGCCGAATTTTTTAAATATTAAAATGAACTAAAGCCCGAAATTTAAGGTAGCATTTAATGTTGTATAATTTTTAAAGAAAAAAATAAAAAAAATAATAAAACTTACTTAAATTCTGACCTATTTTTTTTTTGCTACTATTTTTGGTATAGATTATATATATATATATAGATTGAATTAATTGAATCTGAACATTTAATCTACTCACCCCTAATTTGGTATAGATTATATATATATATATATATAGATTAAATTAATTGAATCTGAACATTTAATCTACTCACCCCTAATTTACGCCTTTATATTGTCCCTCTCTCTCGCGCAACCTGAATTATTTCGGAGAGAAACAAACAAATCACCATAACCATAATTTACACCTTTATATTGTCCCTCTCTCTCGCGCAATCTGAACTTATTTCGGAGAGAAACAAACAAATCACCATAACCATGGCGGCGGCATCTAAATCGGTCCAACTTTTCCGGCGCAAGAAACGGTGGGTGGTTCCTGACCCTTTTAGAAGAGTTGAATCTAGGGCTTTTGCGCTTCTCATCGTCACTCTCATCTCAAATGGTATGTTCGTCTTCTATCTCTTGCCATCACGCACCAAATTTAGCAAATTTGTGTTCTGCAACACTCTTATCTTCGGGTTTTTTTTTGTTTTTTTCTTTTTTAATTTCACAACGTAAAATTGTTTACTTGTTAAATTTTGTGGGTTGTGT